ACTAAATATATAGTGGTAAATAGTAGTTGGGATAAAATACAACATGGTTTCACATAAAGGTGGATCATGCCAGAGCAGCCTCATCTCCTTCATTGAGAAGATAACCTATTTTCTAGACAAAGGAAATGCAGACCTAACCTACCTAGATTTCAGTAAAGCATTTGGTACAGTTGCACATGGAAAAAAATATTAGTTAGATTGGAGAGAATTGGGATTAGTAAGAGAATCCAAAAGGTAACTAAGGAACAGATTAAATGGAATTTCCCAAGGATCAGACTTGGAACCAACCTTAATTAATTTTTTCATTAATTATTTTGCATAAAAACAGGGAGAGGACTAATAAAATTTGCTGATAACACAAAGTTGAGAGTTATTGCCAATGTGGAGGAGACATAAAATATCATCCGATGTAATTTGAAGTTGGATGACCTTGAAAACTGGAATGATCAAAATGGGATGAAATTTAATAGTGTAAGGGGCAACCAAAATTAGTGGACAACAATTTTGACTTTGATTTCTCTGTTTTTCATTTCCCTGTCTGTAACAGAAGGATGACCATAACCAACAGTCTCATAGGAGATTATGAAGATACATTCATTAATATTTGTGAAGCAATCAGCTATTATAGTGAAAGCACCATAGAAATGCCCATTAGGAAGTTAATAATTCTGTATTCAGAACAATACTTGCATGGTGTATAATAAACACATGGAACTGTTGTCCTCTAGCTTTAATCTAATCTATATGGGGTTAGCTCTCTGAATCCATATTCTCTGTTCTGTCTTGCAGCAGTTCCTTAGAAGCTCTGCAGCTAATAATTTGATACAGGATCCATTCATCTAGTTTTGGTCTTTTAACTCTTCTCTTCTGAGTTTAGCACCCTGTTTCTAAGATAATTCTTTTAATTTTCTCTTCACATGCCCAAAACACATAAACTTGGATTTCCTCAGCTTTTCTATAATTTGTATCACATTCACACTTCTCCTAATTTGTTCATTTCAAACATGATCCAGATTTGTAACTCCATGCATTCCTCTTACATTTCCATTCTCACTGTTTTCAAGATCTTCTGCTTTTTTTTAAACTCTGTAGCTGGCATTTGGAGCCATACCAACATTTCTGTCTTGTCAATTTTATTTTTCAGTATGATAGATATTTTTCTATTGCAGATCAGTCCACTTATTTTTCTCCATTTAGTCCATGCCTGTTCTGTTCTGCTCATAAGCTCATTACTGAGTTCACCATTATCCTAAGCAGCCAAACCTACCTAGGACTTGAATTTCTGTATTTTGTATTCTGACCCTCTAGACTTAGTCTCTTTGAGAATGTCTAGATAGCATCCCTCTGTCGGCAGAGGGATGAAGATTAGGCAGGTCGACATTGCAAATGAGGCAGGGATTTAAATATCCATGCCTACTAGACTGCATCCCTCTGTCAGCAGAGGGATGCAGATTAGGCAGGTAGACATTGCAAATGAGTCAGGGATTTAAATGAGTCAGGCTTTTTTCGACAGATCCCTTATGCCCCCTGCAAGGAGGTTTACAGGATCTGTCGAAAAAGGCTTTCTCTAGACTGCTTCTTTTTGCCAACAAAGTGCTGAGTCAGCAAAAACGGTGGCCATTTTTATGCAAATTAGGCATGGGATATTTAAATCGTCGCTTCATTTACAATGTCAAGCTGCCTAATCTGCATCCCTCTGCTGACAGAGGGATGCAGTCTAGACATACCCTTTGTCTTTCCATCTGATATAATCAAATCTAAATATATACTCTTTTTTATTACTGCTGATTTTCATGCCATTTCTTTCAAGTACACCTGTCCATTTCTCTAAATCATCTTCTACTACCTCTTTGCTTTCCTCCATGAGCATTCTGTCATGTGCAAAAATCATGCACAAGGGTCACTTTGTGAATGTTATCTGTAAGTGCAGGAAGCTGCACAGTAAATGAGGAGAGCAAAAAGAATATTTAATAATTCCCCATTCATTAAATGATACAGGGATTCTATGGAAAAAAATAGATTGTGATTATATAATTAAAGACACTCTACATTCAACGGGACTGAATTATGATTGCATGGTCACTTTTAACTCTTATTTCCCAGCTCCTAAGAAATTGTCTTCACAACCTTAATATTTTTGTAAAGTAGTATTTTATGTAATATAAATAATATTTATTATGCTTATATTTAAAGGTGCAATATTTTTATTTAAACTTTGAATTATTATTACTTATTATTATAGTCCATTCAACTAATTATAAATAACCCCATCTCACAGGGGAAGGTGTGTCTGAGGACTATTAAAAACTAATTTCCCCTTATGATTATGGAAACACTTTTGCTAAATAGCTGTGTCCTGACCCACACTGAAAACCCACAGTGTTCAATAGCTTTCATGATCTCCTATGATTTCCCTGTGATGGGGGGAGGGGTGTCTATTGATTGCATAAATAGGATACAGCATTAAACATCTGTGAACACTGGGTCACGACCATCTTAAGGCCTCTTTTTTAAAACCACCTCAAAGGCACAATCTTTGACCCTTCATTTATCATGGAATAGCTCCCTGTTTCAGCATGTATGTTCCGCAGTAGCGCTCTTTACTAGTGGAAAAAATACAGTTAGCTTTAGAGAAACCATGCAAGATATACATCTTGCCTAAGGAAAGGAAAATAGACACAAAAAGTGAGAGTGGTGAACATTATAGGAACCATAAGGACTGCCAGATCTATTATAATATAGAATCTCTGGCCTGTAGCCCCTCAAATCTGCATGGATATCACTATAGTTCCACATGGAGTCAAGGACTCTATGTATATCTCCTTGCTGAATTAGAACCTTGGTCTACTTAATATGAATATACAGATTCTGCTTTCACATTTGGTGGGTATTAAGTTCAGACAACAGTCTAATGGGGAGGTGGAATTTATATATAGTTGGGAAAAGTCCCTTTTATAGCTGCCCACATCTAAAACTCCCGGCTGCCAAAATGAAAACAGCCTTTTCCAAATGCTGCTTGGTTTATATGCACCCATGGGATCACTAGCAGGTAGAATGCATCACTTCTGAAATTCACACCTCACATGCTTGTATTAAGTACAGTAACTAATTTGCTTTGTTAAATTAAATTAAATTAAATTAAATTAAATTAAATTAATAAAGCACATTATTTACTATACCTAACACAGACATGTGAAATTAGCTGTAAAGAAACCAATTCCACCACCAGGACAACCAATCACAAAATTGTTATTGCCATGACTGGGAGTGGTATCAGAATCTTGAGTAACTTTGATTGACACTTAGTTGTCTTTTCTGTTGTACCAATAGGTATGATACAACTAAATGTGTTAAAAGAGAGGGGGGGTGAAGTGGAGGAAAAGTCTGTGTGGATTCCTCATGGAGATTTGCTGTCAGTCATTCCATTGAAAAGGGGAGGGAAGAACAGAGTGGGCTCGTCTACACTGGCCCCTTTTCCGGAAGGGGCATGTTAATTTCACCTATCGTAGTAGGGAAATCCACGGGGGATTTAAATATCCCCCGCGGCATTTAAATAAAAATGTCCGCCGCTTTTTTCCGGCTTTTAAAAAAGCCGGAAAAGAGCGTCTACACTGGCCCCGATCCTCCGGAAAAAGCACCCTTTTCCGGAGGCTCTTATTCCTACTTTGAAGGAATAAGAGCCTCTGGAAAAGGGTGCTTTTTCCGGAGGATCGGGACCAGTGTAGACGCTCTTTTCCAGCTTTTTTAAAAGCCGGAAAAAAGCGGCGGACATTTTTATTTAAATGCCGCGGGGGATATTTAAATCCCCCGCGGATTTCCCTACTACGATAGGTGAAATTAACGTGCCCCTTCCGGAAAAGGGGCCAGTGTAGACGTAGCCGGAAGGAAAAAAGTGGGGCTGGATTTGTCCCCCATAACTCCTGGGAAACAGGCAGCTAGGCCAGCTCCCCAGATATGCAGATCAGTACAGATATTGGGGGATTAGCCTTTAATGTGCCCCTGCCAGATGCTTTCTCTGTGGAATTGTGACTTCACAAAACTGCACTGACAGAGGTTCCAAAATTGATGATCGCTTCAGGGACCTCACAACCTGGGACTGTATTATCTCCTCCCTCCCCCGCCCCGCTTCAATCTCTGTATCATAGGGGAGTACATTCTCCCTCAGTCTGATCTGGTGCTTGTTTGAACCTCTCTAGTCCAGCACTCTCGGGACCTGACCAGTGCCAAATCAGAGAATTTGCCAAACCACAAGAGGTTGTCTAGCAGCATTACCAACACTTCCACTCCTTACTTGGCAACTGAAGACATTTAGGGGTAAATTAGAGCTGAATAACAGCACAGAAAATTGAGCCAGGACTGGAGGGCTACAAACAAACTTTATGGGATTGTGGAACACTTGGCCACACCCATGATATGTGGACATCCAGCTAACTGGCCACCCACTAATTTTCTGGCCACCCACTAATTTGTTTACATCACCAGACCTGAGATGAGGGAGAGAGAGGACAAGTTGCTATAGATGCACTTTGATGCCCCACAATAAATAAAGGTTTGATGCACACCTGGAAAGTCACTTCTGAATATGTGTCCTATGGACACAATTGTACATGAAGCCACTTTCAGACATTGCTTTGATAAAGTTCCACTTGCTTTGAAGAAATTTTACTTGAATAAAGATTGAGTAAAACTTGAATGAAGACTGAGGATTTGACCCTAGATAATTATTACTGTAATTATTTTAAGAAAATTACTAAAATTCTGTCACATTAAAAATAAATAATTCATTTAAAATTTTTAATTTTTATTTTACACTGCAATATTCAAATCAGCTAATTGAAATTCTAGGAAAAAACATTAAAATTAATAGGCTACAGTATTTTGATAAGCAAAGGTTTCCTGTGATTCATGTAGTTTTGAGCAGTGATAGGCTTCAGCTATCTTTATATCTATTGGGTTTATTGCTAAAACAATATTTTAAAAAGATGGAGTCCTTTACCCACCTTCTCAAAAAAGAGCTGCTAAGGTTAGGTGTCGGTGATAGAAGATAGTTTCTTCTGAATCTTTTGTCTTCATTGTAGCTTTTGCAGTGGACTGCACATCTGATGTAGAGAGTGGATTATAGTGAACTTAAACAGTAAAGCATGTGTAGTAAATGATATTTCAAGATATTGCCCCCAATATAAAGGCATTTGCACTGATGAATGTTCATGAATATTTCTTTTAGGTATCAAGCCCACAGTCCAGGACCCCATAGAGTTCATGTGACATTATGTATGTTTGGTTTTTATTTTTCTGTATTTTCTGTTTTTAGATATTGTAGATCAAATAATCAACATATCCCCAAACCTATCAGTTCTTTGAATTCTTCTGGAGGACTCCCTGCTGTGCCCTCTGAATTTTTAAGCTTTTCAGCGTCTCATGTGACAGTAAATTTTTTTCCCATGGACATAAGATGTATATAAAACTGTCAGTGTTTTCCAATCCTGTCATTCAGAATGACTTGAAAGTTCCTATTTTAACTTATTTTTATAGGACTAAGTGATCAGGTACAAGTCAACAGTGCTTGTGAACCCCGCCTCTTGCACTAAAAGAATAACTAAAAACAGCTATTTCAGCAGTTAGTCTTAAATGTATTTGTTCAGAGCTGTGTTTTTACCCTCCGGCTTAAGTCACCAACACTATATGTTTTCTTTTACAGTATTGCTCTATGTGCTCCCTCTAGTGATACTACCATGTATAAACATTATTTCTTGGTGTGGGAGAAATGGAATTTCCCAGATGGCTCACAAACCATTTAATGAAGCATGTAGCACAAACATTTCATTACAACATATTGTGTACTTTTACCTTTAATAACTACATTTCTCATCCAAGAAGTCTCTCTAGCTTTCAGAAATGAATTATACAAGTATTATTTCCCTCAGAATACATTTTTTCCATGACAAGAATAGTACTTCCCTCAACTATTGTATTTATTAGCAACCTATTGCCCTCTGACACTGGTGTCATTTTCATCGACCTTGATAAAGTGTGTATCATTTAAAACCTCTTTAAAAATTATTAAAATAGTTTTATTTTATTGGATTCTTTTTTCTTAACTGCACATGAAACAAGAGAACAAGAAATATTGTAAAAGATTAGGAAGTCATCTATATTTGAGGGAAAGCAGAAAAAGCAGAACTGCCTCAGGGTGAAATCGCTTCACCAAGAGCAAAGGAGTAATCGGGCTATATCCCAGTGAAGTGTGGATGGGTGGGGAAGAGAAATTCCCCAATCCAGGGCAAAGGCATGGAACAATAGAATTGCCCCATGGCCACTGCTCCTAATATTCTATCCTAGCCTATTCACTATATAGTTCATTAAATAATGTGTCTACACATCTGTCACGTGTTGCTTGTTCTCTAATCCTCTGACATTATTCCGAAATAACATAGTGCACATATACACTACAAACCTTTATTTCAAAATAATGTTGAGCTGGAGGACTTCTTACTCTGACCCATGGAACCCCTGACTTCTTACTCTGACCCATTTCAAGAGGAATAAGGCAAGTCAAAGGAAGAGTGTTCTTCCTTTGACTTCCTGCTGTGTAGACAGAGCCAAAAGCCGAGTTAAGCTGTTCAGTTTAAGCTACACAATTGACGAAGCTGAACTTGTGTAGCTTCATTTGACTTTAGCCCTGTTGTGTAGCGGTACCCTGAGTGAACCCACAATAGTACTAGGTATAATAAAAAAGAACGCTGAAGTTACGCATTTGCAAAACAGAAGACGTGCTGGCTGCCTTAATACTGCAAATAAATCCATCAGTGGTCTTGAAGTGCAAAGAAGAGCATTCATTTGAATAGATATCTGTTGATAGTAAGTCTTCTGTGCCTGATTAATATTAAAAACATAAAATATCTCAAATAGCAAAAGGTAGAGAGTGTCCGTGTGGTCAGTTACACCTTTTTACCTATTTTAATTGCTGGCTTTTGAGCATCTCAGATGTCCATCCTCTCCACAGCAAGAGCAGAAGATTCCTCCCCCACCTCCCGACCCCAAACAGCCATGATGCAATTGAAATTTGTACAACATTGTTAATGAATTAGTGGCCAGGGTGCAGTTGCTGATGGATGAGTGCCCAAATCACAAAAAGCTTCTATTACAACTGGCATATAGCAGAACCATGTTTGCAGTCTCAGCATAGATCCAGAACTCCCTTCTCATTTCAAGGGAGGCCCTTTCAGAACAAGATTAGAGTATATTAACAGGGTGTGGTAGGAAAGCATGTACTTCCATGCTGGTTCTGGAGTTGTTCAGTAGGTAAATACAGGCTGTCAGACTTCTTCAAGGCTGTCAGTCTAGCAGAGTGCATGAGCTCTGAATTCACTTTAAAAATGTGGATTGTGAAAAGTGTCATCTTTTATACAACTAAAATCAGAGGACCCTGATAAATCATGGTTGAAATAATGTCCTGCCTTTTCCACAGTAGGTCTAATATTTACTTATAATAAATGGGATAAAATATTCTTTTTTTAAACAATGTCTTTATTTCCCATGTTATAATTCGGTCCTTGGGGCATTGCACAGTTGTGCTGCATGTACTGCTCTTGGCAGATATTTGAAAAGGAAACCTCTACTGTATGCACAGTAGCAGCTTCATCTGTGCCTCAGGCTCACTTGCAGTGCTTACACTAACAAAACTGACTTGACTATTGTTCCATTCATTAGGCCCATATCTTGCCCCACTGCGGACAATGAGAATTTCCCAGTGACTTCGGTGGATACCAGCTCAAGTCCTTATCCATTAGTTCAAGGCTCACCTGGCAAGATCGTTCTCCGGTCTCCACGCACCTAAACATTTACCACTGAAATCAATGAAAAGACTCCCATTGACTTTAATAAGAATTGAATTGTGCCCCAAGTATAGTAGACAAATGTGATCCAGTTATTTTAAGATGAGACACATCAGACTCACGGTGGGAACAATGGAGAGTGTTACGAATTGGGGACTGTATCTGCCCTAGCTCCAACCAGCATAGCAAGTTTTCACCCTTCCCAGGCCTAAGCCTAAAATCAAGGAGATAGTAAACCATCCCAGGCCTAGAAAAAGATGTGGAGAAGGAAGTTGAATGGGTTGTCAGCAGCAATTGGGAAAGACTCTGACACAGAGACAGACAGAAACTGCAGTAAGCAGACTGATTCCCAACCCAGAAATGGTGGCAACTTGTCTGAAGGGATCTTACAAAAGCTTTCAAGAAAGGATTATGTTGTAGGTAAGACACATGTGTATAGGCTTTTATTGTTTTATCCTTTTGCTCTGCATGTTGTGTACCTTTGGGTAAATAAATAATGCTCTGTTTTGAAGAAGCTTCTTTTTGAGTCACTTTAATCATCTCTCTGATCACAGGCTCCTGGAAGAAAAGGACTTACAAGTGCCAAATGCATTTGGGCATGTGGGGTTAATACTGCTCAGAAACAGGGAACTGAATTCTAGAGACCCAGTTTAACTGATGTAAGACTGGGTAGTTCCACTCAGAGTGGTGTATAGATAGCAAAACCAATCACCAGAGGGCTGTACTTGTGTGAGGCTAAAGGGAGTCTAAATGCATCTTGCCCTCTAACCAGAACATGTAAATTCCAGGATGGTTTTTTAAAAAATTTATTTCTCGCTTTCCTTTTCTATCACTTTGTTATTTTGGACCCTACATTTGTTTCTATTTGAACAGGGTAGCATTTTGTTATTTGTCTATGTATTCTGGCTTTTAGTCACTTACTGCCTGAGTGCTTTGGTGATAAAGGGGATGGTCACTGCTGTGCAAACCTATTTATGAATTATTTTATTTTCTACCTTATTCATGAATTGAATCCAGGGGGAGGTTGGTGCAAGTTTAAATTGTTGGGACTAGGAAGCCACTGCTGCCATGAACTTTATGGCAATATAACTGCAAATTTCCTTTAGTCTAAATTCTTTAAAAAAAATGCAAAAGAAGAGTGCAACAGTGGGGATAATCTTAGGAGTTACATCAGTCAAGCAGTGCTCCAAAGCAAGGGAACAGCTCAAATACAATTTTAGCACCTCTGGCTTTCAGAACTCAGTTGGATGTAATGTCTACATCAAGGAACTGACAGAATGAAGCTAACTGGTGTGAAAAAACCACTCCTTCTGAAGAAGCTTCTAAATAGTAGTTGTCTAAATCTATTGATAAGCATGGATGCATTATTAATGAAGCCTGAAGCCTGCCTGGTGCTGCTCAGATGGTTCAAGCATTTAGTAGGAAATATTTCTGTGAAGTGCTACACAGAATAATGACAGTGTCTGTCTTAAATCGAACAAATGACTGTAGCAAGCTCTGGGGAGGCTCAGAGCAAGCAGATGCTTTCCAAGTGAAAGGCAGTGGGGTACCACCTGCTGTAGGCAGGCAGACAGTAGCAGACCACTGAATATGAGTAGTTAATAATTCAAGACAACAGGAACCCCTAGCTCTTCGAACACGGCACTGCCCCTTCATCATGTGCTTTTCATCACCCTAATGAGGTACTTGAAGAATTAGACGCTAAAATGTCTTCTGGATATTCCCCAAAGACTAGGGCTCAAGCTGCCATTATAGTGAATAAGAAGTTGTCTGTAGTATAAGAAAAGAAGAGGGTTTTTTTAAAGGCTTTAAATAAATACTACTGTATGTTACACGTTGCATAATGTGTCATTAAGCTGCAATTTATAAATTCATTAGGGATAGCACTTTTTATCTCTTGCAAGGTATTTCTATAAAAGACAGATAGAAAACCCATTTGGTAGATTGTCAATAAATATGTAGCAAATCTGACCACTAACAAGTGAAAGAGTTTAGGAAACTGACATGATATTCTGAAAAGATTCTGACCTAATGAACTGTTAAAAAAAAATCTTAAAAAGGATATTGTTTTGCCTGATCAGTGTTTGTATAAGTCCCATCTCACCTCTCATCGATGAACTATATTTTAATTAGGTAAATATATAACTGAAAATTATATTCATTCAAAATTTAGCAAAAAATAAAATTCCCTCTTGGGTTACTATAACTAACAGCAGTTCCCTTTAAAAAAACATTGCAGTTTTCTGATGAACTATAGGATCTGATATGTATCAGTATACATCCTGATGATTGTTTATGTCACTTCTCTTTCATCATGCAGTCTCAGAGGAAGATTCTTATTCATTCACTTTTTTATTCATTATTTTTATTTTTACCTACAATAAAATTGCTGTTTCTATTTTGGGTAATATTGGGTAATATTTTATTTTAAAATGCCTCCTGATTACATTGTTATTTATCTACAAATGAGCTGAACTAACACTATAAATTAACAAAGTCAGAATCTTGCTTTTTTGCAAACTTCATAGGACCAAATTTGGCTACCATTATTCGTACTGACTAGTACTTTCCCTTCCTCCCGATCTCCCAGATATAGTCCTTTTATTTTCAGGTGTTTTCAGATATGGCCTTAGGTCGGGAGGTGGAGGCGAAGCAAACTGAAGACCCTGGGGCTACGTCTACACTGGCCCCTATTCCGAAATAGCCATGCTAATTTTAAACTTTGGAATAGGGAAATCCGCGGGAGATTTAAATATCCCCCGCGGGATTTAAATAAACATGTCCGCCGCTTTTTTTCCGGCTTGGGGAAAAGCCGGAAAAAAGCATCTAGACTGGCGCGATCCTCCGGAATAAAGCCCTTTTCCGGAGGATCTCTTATTCCTACCTGAAAGTACCTACCTGAAAGCTACCTGAAAGTAGGAATAAGAGATCCTCCGGAAAAGGGCTTTATTCCGGAGGATCGCGCCAGTCTAGATGCTTTTTTCCGGCTTTTCCCCAAGCCGGAAAAAAAGCGGCGGACATGTTTATTTAAATCCCGTGGGGGATATTTAAATCTCCCACGGATTTCCCTATTCCAAAGTTTAAAATTAGCATGGCTATTTCAGAATGGGGCCAGTGTAGATGTAGCCTAAGTGTTTTCCCCTCTTGCCTTATATTCAATTTCCATAAGAAAGGAATCCTTTGTTTGATTCCCCCACCTCCCAGTGGAACAGTTCAGCAGTCCAAGATGCGGGTTAGTATCTTGAAATCCATGAGTCAATAGCAGTGTGGAACATTCGCAGGAAGGCCAAGTCTTTTCACAGTCTATTGTCCTCACTATTGGCCATCAGCCCTATCTGGCTTTTTCCATTGTTATATCTGAAGTGTTATCAAGGGACATCGCCCAAAGTAGCATAGTTGGAATACAGATACACTGTCAATATTTCTAACTTCAGATATAAAAACAATACATGCATACAAATAGAATAATCATATTCAGTAAATCATAATCTTTCCAATGATATCTTACATGAGTTACTGTGCATTAAGTACATCTCAGTTATGTCCTATTCCGATTATAACCATATTTTCATAAAGAATATAGAATGGAATGTCACACTGACCTTGAGTGTAAATTTGTGGTGAATAAATTGAAATATGCATTTGCGCAGGGCTTGACAAATAATACAATCTACTTGCGCGTGGCGAGTAGATTGTAACCCGGAAGAGCCGGGTTCGGGCAATCTGCGCATGCGCAGAATGATCTGCACATGCGCAGATCGCCGGATAGCGCGGCTGGAGAGCGGGACTGGCTGTGGTTCGGCGAGCCCGGTGCATTGGTACCAATGACATGTAATATCCATTCCAAAAAGGAGTGATACTCTCATGTAACAATAGTAAGAACTCATAGATAGAATCATTTGCTTCTAACACTGAACATGAACATGGGATTTTATTAGAATAAGAAAAATTGCATTATGATTAAAGGTAGTTTCTGTATGTGTCTGTCTCTGCTTCACTATAGAACGTCTGCTTAGAACCTTTTCTGCCCTCGCTTACCAGAATATCTACATATTTCTTCCCTAGTCCCTCTTCTTTCACATGTATAAGCCATATTTAACAAGAATTCATATTTAACAACAAATTATTATCCAAATGAGCAACTGACTATTCATCCAGATATGGACATCTTCTAGTCTTATGGAGGGTTTTAAATTATGACATTTCCATGCTGTTCATTAAGCTAAGCATTCATTCTTTACTCATGTTGTAAGCACCACTGTGACTAGTCACATGTATCACTGGGATTGGAACCACCCACCAGTTTCTTATGCACAAAGTACCTTCATCAGTTTCACTCATGTCATACCTCAGGGTTCAGCCATACCTAGTTACACCACTGATAGCTAACATGCTTCCTCTTCCAGGTTTATCTGGACTAGCGCACCTGATTTAAGCTTATGTAAGCTTTTGGGCTTCATTCCAACAATTAATGAAAGCCCAGGAATGCTTAAGATTTGGAGCCCATGAGCCTCCTATCCTTTAAGCTGAACAGTGTTGTTCTGACCTGCCAATCCTTAAGCAGCTGAGCTGGGTTTATTTACTGGACAGGCATGACTACACTTGCACCCTCTTTCGAGAGAGGGATGCAAATGAAGACATTTGAAATAGCAAATGAAGCCGGGATTTAAACATCTTCGCATTATGGCGCTATTTCGAAATACAAAACACAATATAGATGCAGTTATTTTGGGAGAACACCCTTCTTCCAAAACAACCCTTATTCCTCATAAAATGAGGTTTGACAGTTAATTTGGAAGAAGGTTGTTCTCCCGAAATAACCGCATCTACACCGTGTTTTGTATTTCGAAATAGCACTATTTTGAAATAGCGCCATAATGTGATTATGCAAATGAAGCATGGGATATTTAAATCCCAGCTTCAGTTGTAATTTTGAATGTCTTCATTTGCATCCCTTTCTTGAAAGAGGGTGCAAGTGTAGACATACCCATATAGAAGGTGCCCAATAACTCAACAAAGCTAATAAAGGGGTTCTTTCTGTTTTAGAATTCTCTTACCAATGTGTACTGCTGTCTCTGCTAGTCTATTCCCTTGTGTGTAGTGGATGCTGAAAGTAATATGCTTGAAATCATGCTGTAACTAAAAAACTTGGAATTTAAATCTGAAAACTGTGGCCCATTGCCAGCTGCTATTTCCTCCAGAATACTAAAACAAAAAAATGTTCCTTTTTACTTTTCTATGGTCAGAGGGCTTGTGGGTCTAGCAGCAATTAAAATTACTGCAAATTGAGGAAAATAGTCAGTGGGTACCTTGTATGTCCTTTCACAAAGATATGTCATACTATGCTATGAGAGTTTATTTGGATTGAATCTTTCTGTTTATGCTTCTAGATCCTGCCCTCTCTTTCCCACATGCAGGGACCAGAAGTGACTGGTAACTACTGATCATTGGGTGGGGTGGGGTGGGGAGGGAGAGATGCAATGCTGTGGTGAGGGGGAGGGGTCCTCCCTACAGCAGTGATAGTCAGTTTCCTAGTGACTGCCAAGACACCCTCTGGGAAACCATGGTGCCCCCTGACCATTGCACACTGTGTGATCACTCACATCACCCATTCTTAAAGCTGGCCTTGCCAAGGTTGGCCTTGGGGAAAATGGCACTCTGGGCAAACTTCAATTTTGAGGCCTTCCCCACCACACCTTTCCTGGCCATCCCATCCATCACTCCTCACCCTTGGTGCCTCCCTCAAACTCACTACCCTCTCCATCACTTTTGCTCCCCCTTTTTTCCCTCCCCTGCCCCGCTCCCTGCAGTTTTCCAACCCCCCGACCTCTGCTATGTCTCTGGACTACCAAGCCCAACTTGCCTACTGTATCCCCACACTGAGGCAGGCTAGTGCAGACACACAGTTCCCATCCCTCCCAGGCAAAGGACTGTGCTGCCAGCCCTGTTTCACTTCCCTGTTCTGAGGGCCACCAGTGGGCCTCAGCAGGATCGCTTGCAGCTGGTGCTTTTCCCAGTCATGTCCCTTCAGCTGTGCTCAGCCTGTCTCCCTCTGTGTCAGAAATCTGCAGGGGAAGGGGAAGGGGAAGATGTGACCCCGTGTGCCACTTCCCACCTAGGCAGGGATCAGAGAGACAGCTGAGGCTGCAATAATCCTCACAGAGCAGTCTTTGTGGAGAAGCCAGAAGATAAAAAGGCTGGGAGAGCTCAGTCAGTCTGCCCCACAAAAATAAGTTGCTTGAGGGAGATAGAGTTTGTGGCAAGGTTTCACTGTCCCCACTCCACTCAATAAAATGATTTTAAGTGAGGGGATGTCTTTAGTCCCACTGAGCCTGTCATCTCTGCCTGGCCGCTGTGTGTTAGAGCTGTCAAGCAACTCAGAAAGCAGTGACCATCTGGTCCAAGCTGTTTTCTTAATCGTTGCTTAGTCAGAGAGACCTGCACCCTCCCCCAGACTGGGACACAGGTGACAAGAACATTTCTGCCATTGCCTCCACTGCAGTATATATAATTACCATTGCCATATCACTCTCTATCCACTTTCTCACTTGTGTATCACAGAATTCCTGTGTGCCATGACTGGTCCAGTATATCAATTTTTGATTACCTAGCCAAATTATTTTGGATGATAAACCACAATCCCTATACTGTTTCCTCATAGCTGTTGTATCTATTATTTGGTGAGAGAGTATGCAGGGTAGATTATATGTGATTAACAGATTCATTCCTCTAGTGGGTGGATTTCCTGTGTGGGATACCACAGTGAGAATGTCACTGCGCTTGTAATTACTCCTTTCTGTACCTGATCACAACATGACCCTAATGTTACAAGACACATATTCAAATGTTGGTAATGAAGTGATACATACAATGGATGCACCAGGTAGTGATGTATTCATATTACACACCTGTGTGTATAAAACATGTAAGGCAGTCCTAGACATTTACACTTATAGTTATCAGCTTTGATTATGTGCAAATTTTACATATAGGCTGTAGGGGCTGTCAAAACAAGGCACACATCAAGGTGAGTTTTGAATGGAAGATTAGCCTTATAAGATTTAAGCCTATAGACAATAATCTTGTGGTAAGTTTATACACAAAGCCTGTGGATTTTGTGGCAGGACTTTG